CACCACTGTCCCCATTGGCTCCACCACCGTCCCTACTGTCCCCACCAGTGCCCCCCACCACTGTCGCACTGTCCCCAGTCCCCACCACTGTTCCCACCACGGTTCCACTCTCCCCACTTTCTCCACTGCCCCAACCACTGCCCGACTATCCCCACTGTCCCCACCGTCCCACTGACTCCTTCGCTGTCCCACCGAGCTGTCCCACTGTTCCCACCACTGTCCCCACTGTCCGCACCACTGTCCCCACTGTAACTCTGTCCCATTGTCCCACCGCCGTCCTCGCCACCGCCTTCACCACTGTCCCCACCACTGTACCCTCTACTGTCCCACTGTTTCCACCTCATTCCCGCTGTCCCCACACCACTGTCCCCACCACCACCGTCCCCACCACTGTCCACTGTCTTCACTGTTCCCACCATTGTCCTCACCACTGTCCCCACCACTACCGTCCCCACCACTATCCCACTGTCCCCACCACTGTCCCGCTGTCCCCTCACCACTGTCCCCATCACCACCGTCCCCACCACTGTCCGCAACCCCCCTTCAGTTTTCGAGGAGGGGGGGGGGGTTCGAACCGGTAGTGACCCCCCCCCGTTTTCGAGGGGGGGGGGGTCGAACCGGTAGTGACCCCCCCCCCTTTTCATGATGAACTGGGGGGGGGGAGGGGTTCGAACCGGTAGTGACCCCCCCCGGTTTTCCGGAGGGGGGGGGGAGGGGTTCGAACCGGTAGTGACCCCCCCCGGTTTTCCGCCAGCAGCGGTAGAACACGCTTTTTCTGAAAAAGACATCTTGGGCCAAAATGGCTACGGAGGAGGAGGAGCAGTGGATAGGAGCGGGGACGTGCCGCGGGCGAGCGGGCGGAGCGCGGGGGGCGAGCCAAAGGTGGCGGGGCGGGGCGAGCCTCGGCGGCGCGCCCAGACGAGGCAGTCGGCCCTCCTCCTCCTCCTCTCCTCCTCCTCCTCCTCCTCCTCTCCTCCTCCCCTCCTCCTCCTCCTCCTCCTCCTCCTCCTCCCTCCTCCTCCTCCTCCTCCTCCTCCTCCTCCTCCTCCTCCTCCTCCCTCCTCCTCCTCCTCCTCCTCCTCCTCCTCCTCCTCCTCCTCCTCCTCCTCCTCCTCCTCCTCCTCCTCCTCCTCCTCCTCCTCCTCCTCCTCCTCCTCCTCCTCCCCCTCCCCCTCCTCTGGAGCGGGAGGAGGCCAGAGATCTCAGGGGAGGCCCCGTCGGGGCGGGGGCGGCCCTGCCTGGCGTCCTTCGTCCTCCCCCGAGGGCCTCCGGGAGGCCTCCCGTCGCCACGAGTGGAGCCGCCATGAAGAGCGGGCAGGTCCTGCCCTAGCGAAGTAGGTCGGGCACGTCCCCCTACGAGCGGATTCGGGAAGAAAAAATTGAGACCAAAATTCCAAAATACTCAAAGATATATATATATATATATATATATATATACATAAATATATATAAACTCATAGAATCGTCCCCATACTACGTGTTGGCTGTCTTTGATTTTTCCCCCTGTGAAGGGACACGCCCGACTTAACTATATAATCTCATCGTGGAATGCGAGGAATAGTCTCCTGCGGATGAGGGGGCAGGCTACCAAGGCCGCCTCATTCAAGCCGACGGTCATTGATCCGCAGCGGGTCGGGATGGGCCCCTGGAGAGGTCCGGGGACCGACTTGGAGCGGGTCTCGGCCGGCCGGGAGAGCCCACTTGGCGGCCCGCCCGGGTAGGGAAGCAAAAGTGGTACCAGTGGCACGCTGCCGTGTCAAACCCATCAGCGTGTCATTTTTTGGGAGGAGAAAGAGGAGGCGCAAGCCTGGAGAATGATGTCGATCCTGCCCGCCTCGCGCGCACGGCGTGCCGCTGCCAACTGTTGGGCGGCGCGCGGTGCGGCAGCGCCTGGCGGCAGCGCGAAGCCGTCCGAGCGGAACCCTCGAATTTCCAGTCTCCTTCCGGCGGCCTCATCAGCGCACCGCTCTTGAAGAAACACCCCAGGCCTCTGGACAAACACGTCGGGTCGGGCGAAAGGGGGGGATAGCAAAGGGGGGGGTTGAGAATCAGCTCACGTAGCTGATTTTCCCGGCGCCTCCCGGCGCCGGAGGCGGCTATGTATCGAGGAATGGGCCCCTCGGTGAGGCCGAAACCAGCTGCATGCAGCAAATTTCGTAACCCCCCCTTTCCCAATCCCCCCCTTTCGCCCGGCCCGAACACGGTGGAGCAACGCGCGGATGGCTCTGGCTCTCCCATCGGCAGCGGGTCCTGGAGGCGCGCTCCCCTCCCAGCCAGGGGGGGAGGCCGAGGGGGGCGACCTCCTCAGCAGGCGCGAGAGAGCTTCTGAGAGCCACAGACGCCCCCCGAGAGGCTGCCCGTGGCTTCCGGACAGGCTCGGAAGGCCTCTCGGAGGGCGCGAGGAGGAGGAGGAGGAGGAGGAGGAGGAGGAGGAGGAGGAGGAGGAGGAGGAGGAGGAGGAGGAGGAGGAGAGGAGGAGGAGGAGGAGGAGAGAGGAGGAGGAGGAGGAGGAGGAGGGAGGGAGGAGGGAGGAGGAGGAGGAGGAGGAGGAGGAGGAGGGAGGAGGAGGAGGAGGAGGAGGAGGAGGAGGAGGAGGAGGGCCCCCCTGCCTTCCCCACTGGGCGCGCCGCCCGGAGACGCTCGGCAGCGCCCCCGCCACGGGGAGGGTGGGGAGGAGGGAGCTCCGGCCGAGTGTGGCCTGCGCGGAGCGGGCGTGGTCGCAAGGACCCCGACATGGTCTCCGTGCCCCGGCAGCGGCGTCGGGCGAGCAGGCCGTGGCGCGCGTGCGGGAGCGAGCACACCTGCGCCTCGCCTCAGCATACGGGGCAGCCACGACGGAGAGGGGGGGGGAACCTGGCACACGCCACAGCCGACCCGCAGAGTGAGGATGGGCGTCCCTCCCAAGGGGACCCTTGCATCCCCGCCCCCCGGGCCCACCCCCGGACACCCCTGCCGGCCGCGCCCCGCTCGAGAGGCTTCGAAATGGGCGTCCAAGGGCCTTGCATCCTTATCGCGCATCCTTACTCTGCGGGTCGACTGCAACTGACATGGATTATGGACCACGGGTCCACGGATCACGGAAAATACCCCCGGCAACATGGAGCCAGTGCCGCCTGAGCTGGCGATGGAGCGCGTCGCCTGCGCTTGGAGACGGGACCCGTCGCCTATCCACGCGCACTTGCCCATGTGTGCGCCTCCTCCGGAGAAGGATGGCGTGGGAAGCGACCGAGAGGGAGAGAGACGAGGAACGGCACAGGGAGGCAAACGGGGGGCAGAAGACGGGCACCAGCAGGCAGAGTTCCAGGAGATCCTGGCGCCAAACTAGGCCAAGCCACGGCTCGATCAGCGCAGGCCTGATTCGGGAGCCCGTCGCGGCGTACTTCTGGGACCTGGCTGCTTCGGCCGGCTTCTGGGGCCAGTCGACCAGGCCTCCTACAGCGGAGGCCAGTCCACAAGAAACCTTCCACACAAAACCCAACCCTGAGACCCCAGGACGTCCATCGATTTTCGGTGTGGGAACGTCACGCTTTCCATAGCAGAACCATCGAAACTCAGGACACCCAGGGCGCCCTGTGCTTCTTGACATGGGCCTCCGCTGTACTTCGGCCGGCTTCTGGGGGCTCCCGCAACCGAAGAGGTCACGTCTAGAAGCGGGCTGCGTGGGCCACTCCGGAGGCATGCGCCACAGCGGATCAAGATCTGTTACCACGACAGCTTCGGCCAACTGCGATGCACAACGTTTGACCCTGCTGTCGGGGATGAGTTCCCCCACTGCCACTATCCCGCCTCCCCTGGGAGCAGGAGGAGGAGGAGGAGGACGAAGGAGCAGGAGGGAGAAGGGGGATGAGGGAGGGAAGGGAAGGAGGCAAGAAAGACAGGATATGCAACGATCTGGGCAGGACACCCATCCTAATCCCAGGATCGACGCATACGCCCTCCTGGACTGACCAGGACGGCACAACACCGATACGTGGCCCAAGGTTGCCCTTACCTGGGTGTGGCCGAACAGCTCGCGTGCCACGGCCCCCCAGCCATTGCTCTCGCCTTAGCGCTGCGCACACTCGTCTTAAATGTCTTCGAGAGCTTAACGGATGGAGGACGGCTCCTTTTTCATAATGTGGCTAACACCTCAGCGTCGCGCACATTCATCTGAAAAGTCTGCAGCAGCTTCACGGATAGAGAGCGGTTCGTTTTCAAAATGTAGCCCTCGCCGTAGCGCCACGCACACTCGCCTAAAAAGCCTATAAGAACTTCACGGATGGAGGGCGGCTCATTGTCAAAATGCGGTTCGCGCCTTAGCGACCCGCACAGTCGTCTTACGGTCCACAGCAGTTTCAAAGATCATTGTGGCTGACGTCCTACACATGATGTCTTGGTACGATCTGGGACTGCCAGAGCGCGACAATCACGTTGGCTCGCGGCGCCGACGTCCCAGACATGGCTTTCTTGCACCTCTTGCGATCGTCAAAGTCGCGACCGCAACGTCGAGATCCCAGGAACTGTGCTCTGGCACGGTTGACAGCTTTCAGACGGCTGTCTTCCAACGGGGCGCTTCCCGCAGCGAGGATAAATACTTATAGGGGCCTACGGCGAAGGAACTTGGAGGGACGACGTATTGCGACATCATCGTTGATGAGTCGTGGGTTTACACTGGTCCCTCCTCCTCCTTCTGCTCCTCCTCCTCCTCCTCCTCCTCCTCCTCCTCCTCCTCCTCCTCCTCCTCCTCCTCCTGCTCCTCCTCCTCCTCCTCCTGCTGCTGCTGCTCCTCCCCCTCCTTCTCCTCCTCCTCCTCGGCCTTCTCCTCCTCCTCCTCCTCTTCCAACTCCTGGTTCCCTCTTCCTTCCCTCCCTCCCTCACTCTTTTTTCCCTTCTCATCCTCACGCCCTCTCCCTCCTCTCTCCTACGTCCCCCCGCGACGACGACGACGACGACGACGACGACGACGACGACGACGACGACGACGACGACGACGACGACGACGACCGATCCCCCCCTCCCGC